AAGCGCCCCAGTTCGACCCCGTCGCCCCGGTGCGAGGATGCGGCCGCCCGATGTGGAGGATGCTGTGCGCGCGAAGGCGAGCTCCGAGATCGGAAGTGGTCGAGGTTTGGATTCGGGCGGTTGGTGGTACCTCATGGGTTTTGGGCTCCTTTTGAGGCAGAAGCCCGGAAGAAAGCTGGTATTTTGAAGAAACGGTCTGGGTCTTGGTATGTCTTGCTCTTGGTTGTCGTAGTAGTGGTGGTGGTGGTGGTGGTTCTGTGTTGAACGGGAGGTGGTAGGGTTCAAAGATTCTGGACCCTTCTCCAATGGAAAGAGTGGCATGAGGGTCCAGACCCCTGCAAAGATGTTGGGTTCTTCCAGTATGAAGCGTCCAAGGAGTGCCTGGGTAGGAGACTTTTAAGGCATTTGACCACAACGACTGCCCGTGTTTGGCTTCCAAGCAACATTGATTGAATCATGTTTACTAGGTCGTTTCCATTTTTAAACACCTAGGACTCCCAGGTCATGGACGGCCTGTGACCGGCTGTGTGGAGCAGCTTCAACCAGAACCACTTTGAGCAGCTTCAGCCTGTGAATGCGAGGAACGCGACAGCAGATGAGACAAGATCCATGAATCAAGCCTCTACCAGCACCCTCCAACAGGTGGTTTTTGGACACCTTATATAACCTCTAACAGGCTATTTATAAACACCTCGAACGGAAGGTCCTGGTAGTTACTCTAGTTGAACAGGACCCAGAGACTCCATATTTGGGGCACCCCAGCATATTTGACCTACATTGATCCCCTGAAATCAACCACCCCAGTTTGTATGTACCCAGAACCTTTTATATAGTGACCTCTGTTTTGGACCACCAACCACCCAAAATATGGTCCAACTTCCTATCAAAACAGAGGTCATGTCTGGGTTCTAGGGGAGGATTTTCAAATTCTGAGTTCTGGATCCATTCTGTTCCCAGGATTTCTGTTGTGGCTTATCCCCCAGGATTCCAACCTTGGATCAACGAGTTTCACCAAACAACCATTGTTTTAATGGGGACTTGAGACTACACCAGCTCAACCGACCTCTTTTGGTCCAACTGAAGGCTCTAGGACTTCAAACCTTAAACCTTACCTTCAGCATCCTTCAGCTTCACCTCTGAAACTTTGGACCAAACGCGGGTCTTCTTACGCACCGACAGGCGCCGCCTCTGCCCCGGCCTCGCCACGGCGTCCGCCACGGCCGTTTGGAGGCCGCGGACTGGGCGGAGTGCATGGTCCAGTTCGGCGACGGCTCCTACGACGCCGAGGAGGTGAGGACGGCGTGCGGTGAGGACAAGTCGTGGCTGGAATTTGGGGCGGCTGGAGCCTGAGGTACGAGTCTGGGGGTGAAAATTCCGGAAGAAGTCCCTACTATAATCTGATTGATTACTGTACGTATATACTGTATACTTATAATAGGTGACCCGAGTATATCAGATTGTGCTGGACACTTCGATGGTGCCAAAGAGAGTCGAACTCAGCATCAACGTTGTATAAATTGGAGGGTGAGGGCTTTTTTCAATCCAGGCACTTTGGAACATGGAAGTTCGTCACAAACCATTCCCTAAGGTGGACGAGCCGCAATCATCGTAGCCAGATACGATTAGCAAGAAAGTCCTTTTGCAGTTTTTGCAGGAAGCGTACGGCGGTCTGGAAGACACGGTGGCCTTGCAGGATCTGTGTCTCGATATGCTTTTTTTTGGTACATAGCATGGCCAGGGTGCTTCACTCTTGTCCGAGTGACTTTCCACGACTACTCCGTCGGGTGCCGGCCGATTCGGACCGGGTCACTTTCTGCGACCTCAGGTGACTTCACCTCAGCACTTGTAGGGTTTGGTGGTCTGACCCCCCTGGCGGTCTGACCCACCCGGTTCAGGATTCGGCGCAGGCTCGGCGCAGGTTCAGCGCCTCGTTCTCTTCGGTTTCGGCACCGACCGCCGCCGTCAGGTCTGGGTGTTCCGACGCCAGGACTTTGAGGCGACCGAGCGGGCTCTCTGTCGGTGTCGCTGGCCCAAGGGAGTCGACGGTGTAGGTGGTCGCAGGTTCACCCGACAGCTGTGTAGAGGATTCCTGGCCCACCATGGATTTTAAGGTCTGAATGCCAAGGTCGAACCATTATTGTTCAGGAGTCACAAGACGGGGCGGTGTGGCTCGTCCCATCCAGTGAGTGGATGTGACAGGGGCACTCCGACTTCCTCCAATAGGCACCCCTTTGTGACTGCTGGGTTTTAGATTGTTTGGGATTTTCTTTTGACTACAACACCAGGTCAACAGCTTTTGTTATTCATCGGCCGGGAAGGGAGTCATGGGGGAAGGGGAAGGACCAGACCACCCAGTCATTGTATGTAGATGTATGGAGTCTTTACGACCAAGTCTGAGACTGCCAAGTCACATCTATTCCAGTCCGTCGTCGTGTGCCAGCACCTCGTTCTTGAATCCACTTGGATGCCGAAGAACCACGGGCGACCGCGACCGCCAGGAATTCCAACGCCTCATCAACTTGCGACTGAGCTACCGGAAGCCCGGCCATGGCCAGGCGGCGACCGCGGCGTGCGCACCAGACTGTTAGGTCTGAGCAGCTTTTCCTCATGGGGAAACAAAAGAAGTCTTTATTTATAGAGATGTCTGGATCTTTCAACTATGCAACATTTCTGCCTTTTCATGTATGAAACCAGCCAAGTTCGGCAGAGATTTTGCATAGTTAGAAGATCTAGAATCTAGACAATCCTTAACAGTTCACATTAGTAAGGTCTTGCTTTGGGACCTGCTCAGCAGAGCAAATACAAGAATCTGCTCAGCAGATTGCAAACTCGCACAGACCTGCCTGAATGGATGCTTTACATAAGGTACGCTCAATGCCATCCCCTACAAGTCAAAGACAAAAAGAATGGTCTGACTAGGGGACCTGATTTCGGCCATTTCCTTTACGAAGAGTCGAGCGTTTGGACTTCGTGCCGGGCATCCAGTGGCAGTCGTGCGAAACGACTCCTCACCGATTCGCACCGAGCCCCGCCAGTCACCGGTAGGAAACGATTTGTTTGTTCGACATCGATTGAGGTGGGGATGAGCTGGCTCGACCGTGCTCTGAAACTAGCCCACCGGAACGCGAGCGGGGTTTCTCCTGGAAGTCCTTCCAAACCCACCGGAACGCGAGCACGGACTTGAAGAGCCAGTGTCAAGAGGTTGACTTTTTTGTGTAAAATCCTTGAACACGACACATCATGACATGGTGCCTTGCTTTTACACGCCTGGGGTCTCCTCCTCACCTTCCTCTGACATTTCATCGCTCAGCTGCCGACTTCGCGAAAGCACATCGGTCGCTTACCAGCAGGAGGGTCCAGCACGCTTTGGTGAAGCCAGGCGTCAAGAGGCGGGCGTTCGGATGGGACGTCCTGGTGGGTTAGAAAGACTCCTTTTGACACCATCATCTGACTGGTGCGACTCGCAGGGAATGAGGGTTTGGTTGATTGAAAAGGGGTTTGTTTTCTTGCGGCATAGGCATAGGCCTCTGATGACAGATCTTCCAACGATTCAGCATGTCTGCCTTTTCATCTACAAAACCAGCCAGGGTCGGCAGAACTGCAGCGTTGGATAGCGTTGGAATATCCACGGGCTAAACACCCTCAGCGGGGCAGTGGTATGGATTGTATGCCCATGGGTTGATCGTCGTTCCATGGAGTATCCCGGAGTGATCTGGGCAGTCTCGTTCCATGGCCCGGGCGGTTTCGGCCGGAACTCTTCGGTATGGTTTCGTTGGGTCTGAAGAGGAGCGTCACGAGCGTGGCCCTCGAGTCGCTCTCGTCCACGATGGACGAGGACGAATCGTGACGCGACCGGGTGACGATCGTGTCGCTCTTTTCTCCGTTTCGTGGCTCCGCGACCCCGCGGACCTGGACGTGACCGGAGACGCGACCGGTGACGCGACCGGTGACGCGACCGGTGGCGCACGCGGACCGAACGGGGCGATGCCCCTGGCGGATCCGACGAACGGAAGCGTCGGACCGCAGTGTTCTGGTGCAACCCCAGACGCGGATCCGATCCGGAACCGGGTCCGGGGCTCGAAAGATCCGTCGAATTCGTTGATTGGGAGACACCAAGGGCTGTGAACGGCGCAAAAACCTGGGTAGGCGAGTGCTGCCCAGACGCTCCAAACAGCCCTTGGTCCCTCAAAACCTAGGGATTTGAGACCCCAGACCCCTCCATATGAGGGTCCGACCCCTCCATATAAAGCGTATGAGGGCCCATGAGCGTCTGCGTGGGTAGAATTCTCTCTCCGTGCTGGGTAGACACTTCTGACATGTGCTTTGCGCGCTCTTCTCCGTACAAAGTGAGCCACGCCGACTTCGTTCACCTTGAAGACAAACATCCCGTCGGAAGGGACACCATGTGTGTGAGTGCGAATTCTGTTTGCTCCGAAAAGAATTTTGAAGCATTTTTAAGCATTTCTATCTTTGGATTCAATTTTCTGATATTTTCTGTATGTTTGCTACTTGTACCTTTTGCTTTTGCAATACGAATGCGTTTTCGTCTCACAACCATACCGTACCACATATTTTTGTGTTTTCCAAAAGGAACACGGAAAAACAACCCGTGCAACGGCATGGCGCCTTTCTCATCACAGTGAAGTCTTAATCACCACTCATGCGAAAGTTAATACAAATGCCCACGAACAAAGTGCCATGTTTGCTAAGCTTGAAAGGTCTTAAGCACCGCTCATGTGGAGGTGAATACATATACCCAGCCCGCGAACGAAGTCCCATGTTTGCAATGCAACACGCACACGCGCACACACGTTATTACCACCCACTTACCCCCGTGCCTGTCAACCAACATAGCACAAATTCCAATGACACTGTTTTTGCACACTTGAATCGGGGCCAAAACCAAAGAACAACGAGAAGGGTGGTGCCATGGTAAAGCGTCACAACATGCTACAGTGCTACAGCTGTGAACATGCACAAGTGCCGTGGCTCAAATGCAACGACCCTACGCGTACGGTTTTTCACTCCATTGGCACGTTGACATGCGCAGCATCTCCGAACTCGCCTTCGCCTTCGCTCGTTCGCGCGGGTCGTTTTTCACTCGGCCCCGACGGTGGTGTTAAGGAACCGCGTCGCTGCACGAGCGCATGCGACGGTGGTTCCTTGATCGATGTCACTTGGGGTTCGCCACATGGCAGTGTCCCACTCCGAGGCCATTTTGGCTTGTGAAAGGAGGGCCTTCTAGGCCTGTGCACCATGCCGTTGACCATTGACCCTGCTATCAACATGTGGGACCAGGGCAGGTGGGATCTGTTCCAGGAAAGGTTGGACCAGAGATTCTCGGCAACATTTACTTGGTATACCTGCTTTTCATTTCTCGAAGTCTGAAGAGGGTTGTGTTCTGGAAATCCCTTTTGTTTAACGACACCATTTCGTTGCAGCACCCTCCAGGTCTGGCTTGGGGCCTTAACAGATCAATCGGCGACCGAAACGGGAGGGTGCTGGTGGGTACATCATTTCGTTTTTGAACATGCCGCGTCCTCCTCCAAGTTGTTTCTTTTTTTGGGTCTGCTCCAATGGGCCATGACCCCTCCTGGCTGAACTTGGACAGAACCGAACCTATGGAGGGGGGAATCTGAGGCTGCTAGGTTTTGATGTCCCGGTCAGCATTGTTTTGGCCTTGAGGGTGACCCTGCGAACTCGTGTGAACTCGTGTCGATTCGGTGGTGAACTCGTGCTGAGGATTTGAGACATCTCATGCTGGGCTGAAGCTCGGCAACTCAAGCCCGTGGAGCGTTGCGATGCCTGATCCTCTCATCAGCCCCAGCTTTCTACCTGATCCCATGGAGGAGGCGGCCTGGTCCAGCCACTGGAGTGAGCCGAAATATGTGGCTTAGACGCATGGAATGGGGACGGAAGGGGGTTTTTGATGGTCTTTGGATGTTTTTGGTGTGGGAGATGTAACAAAGAGCTCGGGATGCTCAGTTTCTTGATGGCTTTGGATGTTTTTGGGAGATGTAGCAAAAGGTTTGCAGTTGGATGGACCTTATTGGGTGACTTTCCAGTTCGACCTGTTCAGAAGGAAAGATGAACATAGACTAGAACTCAGCCATACCCTAGAAGTCCCAAGACCATATGTTGACCCACTGAAGTAGAGGAAGCTCCTTTTCAGGTCACCCAAAGTCTATTCTTTTTATAGTCTCTGACTCCCAGGGCATAGACTAAGTCACCTGACGGCCCGACGCGGCCAGACGACTCACCTGCCGTGCCGTGCGTCGAAATGGAGGTGCGTCTCACCCATCCAACCGAGCGCGTGGACTGGATGCTCGATTCGCCTCACCCTCCTCGTGCCGTCTCCACGAACGTCGTGCCGCCAATACGTGCGTTGCACGCGCGTGCCGGAATGGCGCCGGGCGCAGGACCGGGGTGCGCCACGGGGCGGGTTTTGGGGGTTTTCTTGTTTGACGTTGAATGTTTTGAGTGAATCTCGGCCTGGCTTCCTGAAAAGGGCCTATTTCTTTCGAGAGGACCGACCCCAACAAAGGGGAAAAGAACATGAAGAACTTGGTGGTTTCGAAGCAATTCCCAGGTTGTGAGGTCCCTGTCTGTTTTTTGGGCCCTTATATAACTAGGGGTGGGGAATAACCAAGCACGTTTGATTCTTCCGTCCCGTTCTTCACGAACACCGTCAGTCCGGCGGACACGTAAACTGCCTTCAGGACGCCCTGTGGCGCCGTTGGATGGCGCGCGCCCGGAAAGGACGGCGCCAGAGCACGTGACCCGAGCGGCTACCGGAGGCACTCCAGAGGACCCTGGTCTCTCAGGGCAGCGATTGAAAAGAGTACTCCATGTGAAGCCTGGCTTTGGGGGTGGGCCAAAAAGGTGTGTGTGTGTGTGCGTGTTTTTTTTTTTTAATGTTACTGGTTTCTGGGTCAATCCCCTTCTTTCTGGAGAACATGTTTGGTATTTTTTTCCAGGTTCCTGGACAGCAAATCCAAGGAAGCAAGCACCGATCTACAAGTATGCCGAGTGGTGTTCGTATTGGCGTGAGACCGGCAGGAGACCAGAAGATCCTGCGACCCCTCGCTCAGAGTTGACGAAATCGGAGTTTGACATTCAGCGTCCTGTCTGCCGAGAGCTGGCCCCCACCACAAGAAAGGACGTGACATAACTAAGCTCTCCCTAGGGATCCAAGTACCTTCTCAGAAGGTGATTGGAAACAATGTTATGTAGGTTTGGAGTGTCCAAATACCTTCTGAGGAGGTACGACTGGATCCCTCGGCTCTGTGACTCCCGGAATCAGGTGGATCTTACCCCAAAACACCTCGACCCTGGCCCTAGCCGCCCTGATCCGTCAAGGTATGGAGCTTGGAGGAAGGCTTTGGTGGAAGGCCCACCGCGCAGCCGGCGCTAGGCTGGGGAATCCTGTTGGTGGAAGAGACTTCTTCAAACCTCCCCGTGACGGCGTGGCGTTTGGCTCGCGTGCGGGGAGGGATGCTGCAAAGCCTCGGCAAAAGGCTTTGGAAAAAAAGAACTGTGCCCAGCACAGAGCATGTATGTTACCACCTTGTGCTGATGATCTCAGTGCAAATTCAACTGGCTCAGTGCTAGTCATCTTGCGAGAGACCACGAGGCGAGGACCCTAAATTATCTAAAAAACCCTTGCCATCCTTGCCTGAGTCTAGTGAACTGTTTTTTTTGATCTTCTGACCGACCGCATGGGCGACCGTGTTGAAGATCCTCGTTTTGCACGGTGGACTGTTGGTACAGAGCCATTTCAAGGACGAGCGTACGAGCGCCACCCGGAAAAGAGGGACGGCCGACGGTGCGAGAAGCTGGGCGGTGTGGTGTCCGGGTTTTCGTGCCTGAAGAAGTTTACCGCTACTGTAGGATTACGATTCCAATATCTTCCCACAATCATATGTTTTGCCAAGGACTTTGCACGACTGCAAAGCCAGGTCAGGCGTCAGGCGCGAGGCACCTCGACTCCCCGTTCGGACATCGACCCGTCGGGGATCGGCGAGAGCACTCGGGGGTGGACCATCCAATCCTCTCGTGTCCCCATCCGCTGTGGAGATCCCAGAGAGCAGGGTTCCAGCCTATGGTCCTGATACGAACACATACAATACCCTAGGCTTCCAACAACCATTAATAATAGATAATAGGCTGAATCCAAATCAACTAAGGATTTTACATTACAAAAACCAGGTCGTTCCCATTTTTTTACTGGTCGAACGGAAGTCTAGGGTATGGTCACATGTATCCGTTCGAAGTCCAGTTTCCTCCGGCTTGACTCAGGTCAACGGTCACCGAACGGTCGACCCTTCGATTCGAATGGTCTGACGGTGGACTCGACAGGTTTGAAGTGACCTTGTAGGAGCCTACTTGTACTTGGGTACCTATATATGGGATAGTCTAGTTCGGGTTCTGACCCACCTCTGTTGGTTCGGGATGGTTCGACCAACTCGATCGACCCTCTGCTGGCACCGCACCGTGACCGCGAGGCGATGGAGGGCACGAAGGTGCTGTGTCGAGAGAGGCGAGACGAAGGGTGGACGAAGACGAAGGAGACGAGGTGGACGGTGAATGGATGTGGGTTGAAGATAGATGTGTCAGACTGGCAATGGCGCAGCATGGTGTGGGTGGACGGTGAATGGTGTGGGTGAATGGTGGAAGCAAGTTTGATGTTAGCATGATGCTTTTGATGTGCCACTTGGCAATGGCGCAGCACTAGCGTCACTGCCAGGTCACCACATGCCACTTTGAAGGCTCCATTTCAGCCTCCTGAGAACTGTAAAGTGGGTTTTCCTCCTAGAGCTGCCTCCAGTGGGGAGCAAGCTCGCATGTCTTTTCTCCAAAGAGGCTGCGGAAGAAGCCTCTTGATGGGAGAAGTTCCACATCCCACAGTGGACAGTCGAACTCATCCCTCCCTCAAGAGCCTTCGGTTCGACCCTACAAGGTGGACCTCGTTTTGTACCACCATCCCGGACAGGATGGGAACCTTGTAGTCTTAACCTGGACTGGGAACCAAGTCCCAAGTCCAAAGCACCTGTTCTTCCTGGCAATTCTCTCGATCCTTTACATAGGAAATGGCTACAGCACTGGGTTTCGTTCCATCCAGAACTCTTTCTGTTTGTGGGGTTCCTCACCGGTCCTGGTAGCTCTGTGAACACGCGGTAGCTCCTGCCGCCGCGTGCCGTGCAGCGTGCCTCAGGGGTATTGATCCTTCGTTGATTTGCTCGCAGTGTGTGAAGGTCTTCACAGGCCTTCGATGGGGAGAAGAAGATGAGAGATGGGAGATGAAGGAGATGGTAGAAGCAATAGAAGCAAAGTTTCGTTTTTTCGTTGAGAAACAGAAACAGAAGGTTATGTGAATGTAAGGTTTGTATATGTTTGTATATAGGTTTGTAAATTATATATATACATGCACACACACATTTTTTTGCTGTTTGTGTGAAGCACCACATCCGAAAGGCTGTGTAAAAGTTGGGGAAGTTGACCACGCAGTTCTGGGCAGGTGGCGCATATGAAGATTCCGGCATCGCGGCTCTGGGCTGAGCAGCTACTGGTAGGGCGGTGTGTTTTTTCATGATTCGTTCTGGTGGGTGAACACATTTTTCTATCGCATCCCCTGTTTTTTGACTCCCCGTTGATTTACTAAGGATTTTACCAAACAACCGGTTCTGAGTCTGTTTCCAACCGTTGTTTTACCTATCGCTTGTACCCTGCAAAGCCAGGTGAACCATTGGTAGTCTGGGTCTTCACTGAAGGCGTATGGAGACATGGAAACGGTACCCTTTTGAAGGAGAAGACATGGAAACTGCCACAGTTCTGTGTGCAACAACCAATTTTTCCTCCACCAAGGAATATGACAATGCAAGTAAGGAACAACCGACGGTTCTGAGAAATGATCAAGAAAGAATACAGCAAAAACAATCAAAAAGCAAAACAAAAAACTGAACCCAGAAAAAGATTGAAACAACTAACATGCAAGACAAAAGAACATGTTCTTTCTTTCTTCCAAGTGTTTGGCACTTTTCTGGATTCCACTGAGCACAGAACACACAGTACACATAAAGAAAGCCAAACACTTCACTTTGCTGATCTTGTTCTGTGCGTTTTGTTTTCCTTTGTTTGTATTTGTTTTAATGTGTTGTTCTTGGTACAGTATATTATGTTTTCATATCTCTTTTATTTCATGAATGAATGTGTATTTTCTTTCTGATACTGTTTGTTTGCTTCATTCTTCTCTTCTCTTTGTCGCACAGGAATTCCAACAAGACTAGGCCTAGGCGTCCAGTTCGACTATTCTGCAACCACCGAAGTCTTCAGGACATTCCTAGACTCGGGTCACCGTTCGTCAGTCCACTTATGTCCACTTGACATGGGGTCTTTCCTGGACTTCCAGGGTTTTAATCCACATGCCAAGCACCTTCTCCGCCTTTTCCTTCAACCCCAAAACTCCTGCGACCCGATCCCAACTGCTCCAACCGTCCAATCGCCGCACCGCGCCGCACCGCGCGATGTGCGCGCGATGTGCTTCACCCCGGTGGAACGCTCAGGTGCCGGCCGTACCGTCCATGTCTGACGTGGTGCAGTGTTTGTCTTTGTCCGTGGGCGAGGTCGAGGGGCCCCCGACTCAGCCGGTGTTGAGCGCCTTCGCCGGTGGCCGTGAGAGCATGAGCGCATGAAAGAGGAGCTGCTCAAGTCATCTACAGAAACCCTAGAAGTTCAGTTCGACTATTTTGGGCACATTTCTGGACTCGGATCACCGTTCGTCAGTCAGTCAGACCGTTTTACACAACATGTTTTTTCCTGGAGTCACAAGACGGGGTGCCGCACTTGGAGGAAGTCGGGGTGCCCCTGTCACATCCACGAGCCCTGGATGGGACGAAGCAAACCACCCAACTCCATGACAAAACTCAGGTCCAAACTTTTGGTCCTCAGAATTGGATGGAAATCATGAGCCAACACTGACCAACCGTCGCGTGGACCGTCCCGTAGACCTCCGTCCGCGTCGACCTTTCGTTGAGGACCGGTGCCAATGCGACAGCTGCCACTGGACCGGGTCAGGCGTCACGGCTGGGCGAGCGGGCGAGCGAGCTGTGGGGCGGCCAGCGCCGAGAGCGCAGTGGCAGTGCTGGATGCGTGTGGATTCTTGCACCCTGCCGGTGTTTTTCATCAACATATGCCCAGACGCGACCCGAACTCGGCCCCGAAGATTCTGGAGGGATCGTTCTCCTGAATCCGAACTGGTCAGGGGTCTGGGGTCTGGGGTCGAACCATTCCCTAAGGTTTTTGAGGGACCGGTCGGTGTGTTTGGAGCGTCTGGGTGGAGGTATTTGAGGAGTCGGAGTTACATTTTTTTTAAAATAGTAAAACCATTAGTTAGGAACAAAAACAACAACATGGCATTGCTTCGTGAACCACGGTGGCTTTGGTAACACCGATCTGGGATGCTTATGAAAGAGCAAAAACACATAGGAAACAAGGGCAGCCTGTGGTGGCAGACCTTGGGGGATTTGGATGGATTTGGGGATTCTCTTGGTTTGGGATGGGTGAGCCATGGGGGTGTTTTAGGTCCAGGTGAGCGGTGGAGGCCCAACTCCGACTCCTCAAACGCCCGACTTGATGCCCGCAAGCTGCGGTGGGCGGTTCCATTCCACCGGGTCGTCGTCGTTATTCTCCCCCCTTCAGGTCGGCGATGGAGGTCCGTTCGACACCCCCCCTAACGAAGGTCGGGGGTTGGTGTTGGAAAGTGCATCACCCCTATGGACGTGAACGCAACGGGCGCTGGTGCGGACAGCGGGAAGCGATCGTAAGGATGCCATTGGGTGTGGAGACCTCGGCTGGTCCTTCGTGCGGGGTCAATGGGATGAGCTGGAACATGAAGTATCATGAAGTATCGTGAAGTGATTTCCACGAAATGTTATTTCAAGGTACCGTACTGCGAAGTAGTACTCATGAAGTGCAGGGTATGATACCCACGAATTCTGCCGCAATGGGTCAATCCTAGGGTCTTTTTTCTCATGTCGACAACCATGGCGAACCAATGTTGTAAGATCTTGTAAGTTGTAAGTGGCAAAACTCGAGTTTTCGTTGGTGCTTGCTCCAGGGTCCCGAACCACACCATGCAAAAACACAGGTTTTCGCATACAAAAAACCATGCTTTTTGCTAGGGAACACCAGGTTGTTGTATGGGCCATGTGGGGCCCCTGGCTGTTCTGATTCCTCTGAGCCGAACAGGTACGTTCGACACCGCGTGGCCGTTTTCACCACCGCACGTTCCTCGATGCTCCCTCCGCACCGCCGGATTCACAGCTTCGCAGCCAGCACTTCGAGGGATTCCGTTGGCAGGTGGTCGCACGCAACCGCTCGCCGCTGAAACAGACGGCCTTCTGCAATTATGCCCCGGCGACCCAGTGGAGTCGGATGAGTACGCTCTTCACCAATGGGTACTGTATGGTCCGGTCGGTATGGTACAGTCAACAGAGCGGCTCAGAAACGGTCAAACAAAACCATACCCCAAGCATATGTCTTGGCGATGTTCGCCGACACAACCAGCTCTGGAGCTTTTGAAACTCCGCGGTCTTGGAGCGGCCTTTTCAGGATGCTAGATAGGGTGAGAGTATTCGTCTATGATGTCACTGGTCTTGAAATAGGGTGAGTATTCCCCTGGGCCCGGAAGTGGGGTTCACTTGCTCTATATTTATCCTGGCGAACCTTCGGGAGGTCTCCGAGCGAACCGTGACCTGGTCGGAGTTCCGACCACTCCGCCACTGTGGGGAGGGAGGGCTGGTTTTTCGACCT